TATCAATGAGGATTCCAACAGGAAACAGCCTGTCCTCTCCAAACAGGTCAGTGAGGGCTGTTTATGTGGAACTGTACAGAGACGCACAGAGGAGAAGGAGCTGGGATCGGAGGCTTTCTAAAGCAGGGAAATGTGTGCTTGTGAGTGTGTGTGTGTGAGAGAGTGTGTGTGTGAGTGTGTATGTGTGTGAGAGTGTGAGTGTGCATGTGTGTGCGAGAGTGTGTGTGTGTGTGAGTGTGTATGTGTGTGTGAGAGAGTGTGTGTGTGAGTGTGTATGTGTGTGAGAGGGTGTGTGAGTGTGTATGTGTGTGTGAGAGAGTGTGTGTGTGAGTGTGTATGTGTGTGAGAGGGTGTGTGAGTGTGTATGTGTGTGTGAGAGAGTGTGTGTGAGTGTGTATGTGTGTGAGAGTGTGAGTGTGTATGTGTGTGTGAGAGAGTGTGTGTGTGAGTGTGTATGTGTGTGAGAGAGAGTGTGTGTGTGAGTGTGTATGTGTGTGTGAGAGAGTGTGTGTGTGTGAGTGTGTATGTGTGTGTGAGAGAGTGTGTGTGTGAGTGTGTATGTGTGTGTGAGAGGGTGTGTGAGTATGTGTGTGTGAGAGTGTGTGTGTGAGTGTGTATGTGTGTGTGAGACAGTGTGTGTGTATGTGTATGTGTGTGTGAGAGTATGAGTGTGAGAGTGTGAGTGTATGTGAGAGAGTGTGTATGTGTGTGTGAGAGAGTGTGTGTGTGAGAGAGTGTGTGAGAGTGTGTGTGTGAGTGTGTGTGAGTGTGTAGGTGTGTGTGAGTGTGTGTGAGTGTGTGTGTGTATGTGAGTGTGTATGTGTGTGTGAGAGTGTGTGTGAGTGTGTAGGTGTGTGTGAGAGAGTGTGTGTGTGTGTGTGAGTATGTGAGTGTGTATGTGTGTGAGAGAGAGGATGTGTAAGTGTGTATGTGTGTGTGAGAGAGTGTGTGTGTGAGTGTGTATGTGTGTGAGTGTGTGAGTGTGTATGTGTGTGTGAGAGTGTGTGTGAGTGTGTATGTGTGTGTGAGAGTGTGTGTGTGTATGTGTGTGTGAGTGTGTGTGAGAGAGTGTGTGTGAGAGTGTATGTGTGTGTGTGTGAGTGTGTGTGTATGTGTGTGTGAGAGAGAGTGTGTGTGTGTATGTGTGTGAGAGTGTGAGTGTGTATGTGTGTGTGAGAGAGTGTGTGTGTTGAGAGGGTGTGTGTGTATGTGTGTGTGAGAGAGTGTGAGTGTGAGAGAGTGTGAGTGAGTGTGTGTGAGAGAGTGTGTGTGTGTGTGTGAGAGAGTGTGTGTGAGTGTGTGAGTGTGTATGTGTGTGTGAGTGTGTGTGTGAATGTGTGTGTATGTGTGTGTGTGAGAGAGTGTGTGTGAGTATATATGTGTGTGTGAGAGTGTGTGTGTGTATATGTGTGTTAGTGTGTATATGAGAGTGTGTGTGAATGTATGTGTGTGAGAGAGTGTGTGTGAGTGTGTGAGTGTGTAAGAGTGTGTGTGGAATGTGTGTGAGTATGAGTGTGTGAGTATGTATGTGTGTGTGAGAGAGTGTGTGTAAGTGTGTGTGTGAGTGTGTGTGGGAATGTGTGTGAGTATGAGTGTGTGAGTATGTATGTGTGTGTGAGAGAGTGTGTGTGTGTGTGAGTGTGTGAGTGTGTATGTGTGTGTGAGAGAGTGTGTGTGAGTGTGTGTGTAAGAGTATGTGTGGGAATATGTGTGAGTATGAGTGTATGTGTAAGTGTGTGTGAGTATGTGTGTGTGAATGTATGAGTGTGTGTGTGTGTGTGTGTGTGTGTGTGTGTGAGAGAAAGAGAGAGAGAGAGAGAGAGAGAGAGAGAGAGAGAGAGAGAGAGAGAGAGAGAGAGAGGGAGAGAGAGAGAGGTGCAGGGCTCAGCTGCAGGCTTTGGCTTTGAGGGGAGAGTCCCCGCCAGCAGGGCGGGGTAGCTGGGCAGCGTAGGCGGGTTCCCTGGGCCAGAGGAGATGGGCAGTGGTGCCGCGTGCCTGGGCCGGGAGTGGGTCTCACCGCCCGGCCTGCTGTCTGGGATGGAGGCTGCACCTCGTCCTGCCACGAGGCCCCTCCGGAGGCGATGACGCGAACCCTGCCTGGTCCCTCTCACCTCCACTGGGAGCCTCGGTGAGGGGAGAGGGCACAGCAGTTTTTCCAGGAACGGCTCCCACGGTTTGTTTCTGTCCCAGAAGCTGATTATTAGAAATCAGAGGCCAGAGCAACCACTGGCCCTGTGCTCAGCGTGCAGAGACGGCTACTTCCTATTGTGCCAAGAAGTGAATTCTCCTTCGGAAGCGTGACACTGGCGTGTGAAGTCGCATGTGGCTCTCCGCGTGGGGGAGGTCAGACATGTCCTGCAGCACCGGCGTGAGCGTGGACGGCCTTCTGCTGCCTCGTGCCAGTCACAGGTGTCAGCTGCTGTGAATGAAGACTTTTTCTCTAAACTTAAAAAAAAAATTTTTATTGATTTTTAGAGAGGGCCAGGGCTAGGGAGAGAGAGAGAGAGAGATATCAGGATGAGAGCATCATGGATCGGCCGCCTCCTTCATGCCCTTCGGATGGAGCCCGCAGCCCAGGGGTGTGCCTGGCCCGGGACCCCGTCAGTGCCCTCCGTTCCCGGCTGGCGCCCAGCGGGAGCCGTGCCGCGGGCCCTTCCGCTCAGCGTTTGAGCCTGGAGTTGTTTTCCTAGTTTCACATTGGAGAAAATAGACACTGAAGTAATTTCCAGCAACGCCGGGGTCAAGATGGTCAGTTTACAAAGGAAGAAAATAGGAAATCCTTTTTTACTTGAAAAATTCATTAGTAGTTTAAAATGTGTTTTCCATCTCAAATTCCGTGCGATGTTTACCCTGTGGAGTGGATGGGACACTGATCTGAGGCCGGGGCTGGGTGGCTGGCGTGTTTGGAAAATAGGAATGTTGCTCAGGCCCAGTCCAGGGGGCCCCTCTGGCTGGCCATGGGCACGGCACGCTGTCTGCATTGGAGGGCAGCATTGGTGCCCGGCCTCCCAGCTGGTGAGGAGAGATGACAGAGCAGCACAGATCCCGCTGCTGGCTCCTCACTCAGCACAGGCCGCATTAGACAGCTTTAGGAGCCCCACGAGGTGAAAACGGCAGCGTGGGACGGAGGGAAGACTTTCCCAGCTGTGACAGAGTCCAGCAGGAGCCGGGACCTCCGCCCTGGGGGGGCATTCACGCTCTGGGGGTGCCTGGCCTGTGTCCTCTCTGCTCAGCGTGTGCTTCCTCCTGCCTGTGTGTTGTTGTGGTTGTGCAGCTTGGTTCCGTGCTACACAGCAGTGACTTCATGGGAAAGGGAAGGTTTGCAAAGAGCATGAACGGAGGGAGGGCGGGAGCAGGGTGGGAAGGGAAAGAGGAGGCGGGGGCCCATGGCCAGTCAGAAGAGCCCCCTGGTCTGGGCCTTCCCCAGTCTTGAAGGCTCTGCACCTTTGGTCTCCCCTTTGGCGTGGTCCCTGCCTCCATGGGCAGATGCCGCATTCGAAATGCACCCTCTGCAGGGGAGGGCGTGTTTATGCCCAAGAGAGGGCGTGGGACCCCATGTGCCGGACCCACTGCGGGCGAGAGCCGGCACCACCCCCTGAGACGCGGACAGAGGCCCTTTCAGTGACATAGCCTGTAAGCTCTGCACAGCTTTCACACGCCTGGCCCTTCCAGCTTTCCAGTTTGTCCTAGCACGGGGCCTGGCGGCTCCAGATTAGGAGAGATAGGAGGGAGTTGGGTGTTCTTCAACAGAGATTTAAAAAAACTGACTCAGCCGAAACCGGCGTGGCTCAGTGGTTGAGTGTTGACCTACGAACCAGGAGGTCCTGGTTCAATTCCTGTTCAGGGCACAGGCCCAGGGGGCAGGCCTGATCCCAGTGTGGGGGCGTGAAGGAGGCAGCCAATCAAGGATTCTCTCATCATTGATGTTTCTAGCTCTTTCCCTTTCCCTTCCTCTCTGAAATCAATAAACATATTTTTAAAAAATAACAATAAAAAATGACTCCATCAGGATGCAAGCACATTTGGTCTCATTTCATAAATGCCCCTGAGGGACTCTGGGAATGAATGAGACCTGTCAGTAAGTAATTATAGGAAAACTTGAAATTCCGATAAGAAGCTTTGCAAAACAGTCAGAGGCAGCGATAGAAACGTGTGGCCTGGAGGGGTCTCCCTAGAGTCTCAGCACAGAATGGGCCCCACTGTCTGTTTTGATTTAACCACTGAAACGTGTTCGCCCTGGGGGGACGGACGAGCTGGAGTTCGGGGTTTTAGACCGAGGGCTGGGCTGGCGACTCCTGTGTGAAGAGCCGAAGGAGCCTCCTTGTCTCTGTGGTCTGGGGCCTGCTGAGCCGCTCCTGTGATGAGAGCAGAGTGCGGGGGAGCCCGTGTTCGCAGCCCGAGGGACGGCCTTGGGCCCTTCCTCCCCGTCGGGGGTCCCAGAATCACGGAGATTAGCCCACCGGGCCTGCGTTCCGTCTTGTTCTGCTTTAGAACCCAACAGCAGCTCAATTCCTTCTTGTCCCTCAGCCGCCCAGCTCCCCATCCTTCCAGTACCACCGCCTCCTTGGCAGGACCTGTGAGAGGCACCTCCAGCTCCGCCCGGAGCTCTGGTGCTCCGGTCAGACTCCTGGGGCGGAGACGGTGGCTTCGTCCAGCACAGAGAAGGGCAAATGCTCCTTAGATCGCTGGGCGTGTTTGCTGTCCAAACACAGCCTTTATTATCTGATTACGTTTTTTCCAATCCTCACTTAATATTTTCCCATTGATTTAAAAAAAATGTTTTTATTGATTTCAGAGAGGAAGGGAGAGGGAGAGAGGGAAACATCAATGATGAGAGAGAAACACTGACTGGCTGCCTCCTGCATGTCGCGTACTGGGATTGAGCCACAACCCGGGCAAGTGCCCTTGACTGGAATCAAATCCAGGACCCTTCAGTCCGCAGGCCGATGCTCTACCCACTGAGCAAAAACAGCAGGGCTCCACTGATCGTAGAGAGTGGAAGAGAGAGGGAGAGACAGAGAGAAATATCGATGGGAGAGAAGCACATCGATGGGTTGCTGCCTGCACGCGCCCCGACCGGGGCCCTCCCATGTTTTGGTTAATATGTACTAGGTCCTTCCAGACCCCATTCTTGTAGTCGAACTTTCCCAAGGGGCTTCCCAGGATCCTGCCAGCCTGAGACAATTGATGTCTCTCGTGGCTTCTCACTGGCTGTCGCCCGTGGTCCCTGATCGCATTAGCACTGTTGCCGTTCACTGTCTGCCGCCTGGTTGAGGTCGGGGTTGTCCTTTCCTTTCTGTCCACCCACCAGGGTCACACGCGGGCATCAGTACGTGCTTGGGAGTGAGTGGAAGGTGGGTGTGCTTTGTGTTTCCCTGTGGTTATAAACATCACTGAGCTCAGTGGTGGAGCGTCGATCTGCGGACTGAAAGGTCCCAGGTTTGATTACGGTCAAGGGCATGTATATTGGTTGCGGGCACATCCCCAGTAGGGGGTGTGCAGGAGGCAGCTGGTTGATGTTTCTCTCTCATCAATGTTTCTAGCTCTCTATCCTTCTCCCTTCCTCTCTGTAAAAAATCAATAAAATATATTTTTTAAAAAAAGTTTAAAAAACCCACTGAAAGCCCAGTCAGGGTGGCTCAGTGGTGAGTGTCGGCCTGTGAACCAGGAGGTCACGGTTTGACCCCGGTCAGGGCATAGGCCCCGTTGCAGCTTGATCCCCAGTGTGAAGCGTGCAGGAGGCAGCGATCCATGATTCTCTCTCATCACTGATGTTTCTCTCTCTGAGATCGATAAAATATATTTAAGAAAACAACACTTACTGAGAGTTCAGCGTTCACTCAGGTACACGTATGTGCGAGTGGAAAATCCTCCCCAGGCTCATCACGGAGCTCGAGCTTTCATCGAGGGCCCACGGCCTAGCACGTGTCTGCTCCTTTGTGTACAAGGAAAAGTGGGTTACTGTTGCTTTTATTTTGGAATATTCCGTATAAATTTATCGTCTCCACTAGATGCAAATTCCTTGAGAATAGACTTTATTTTATGTCCCTGGCATTTTCAACAATGCTTGGCACATTGCAAATGCTCGGCAAATGTCTGTTAAATGTCTGACAGCGATGGACACTTGGCCCAGCAGTGGTAGATACGGCACACATTCACCATTTTGAGGTAATTTACTTCAAAGCATTTGAGTGTATCAAGAAAAGCCTTCAGTTTTGAATAATTTTTCTCAGAAATTAGTGTCATGTAAGGCCTGTTAACTAAAATCTATATTTTAACAAGAATTAAGATGATTATTATTTTTTTAATTGTTAATTTTGTTCTTTTTTCCAAACATTGAGAGACTTTATGGGGAGGGGGTGGGGAGATTCCCACCTGGGATCCGACTTTTTAAATAAAAAAGTGCCTACGAAAGAAGGGATTAGAACGCTTTGTGCACTAGCTGCGCTGGCCCCAGGACACGAAGCCGCAGTGGCTGAGTGGGCGGGAGAGCTGGGGCGGCCTGGCCACCGCATGCCCACGCTCTCCCTGAACATGAGGGTGAGATGCTCGGGGGACTAGGAGCCCCCAGACCAGGGGCAAGATGGCAGCAGGAGGTGCAGCTGCTGCAGCTTCGCCCAGGACCGCGGCAGCGGGCGCAGTGGCCGGGCAGCTGGCTGCGCCTCCTCAGCGCGGAGCTCCTCGCCACGCGGGCGGGCGGGCGGGCGCTGGGCAGAGGTGGAATGGAATGAACAACATAAACTGATGGACGGAGTGGACCCAGAGCCATGGAGGCAGGAACCGAGTGCGGAATCTTGGAGGGAAGGAGGGGAGTGGGGGTGGGAGGTAACCAACCTAAGACCTTGTGTGGCCCCCGGACACAGCCAGTGAGTGGTGAGGGCCTGGGTGGGGGGATGGCGGTTGGAGGGAGTGAGGAAAAGGGGGACGGATAAGTAATACTTTCAACGATAAAGATCTATAATAGTAAAACGTAATATGCAAATCGACCCAATGACCAAACAGCAGAATGACCGTCCAGACAACCTCTGGACAACCACGCCATGATACCAACTGGCACCTGCAAGGTGGTGTGATGTGATTGGTGTGATGTGATGTGATTGGGGGGGGGGGGGGCGCCATCATCCCATGATCACCCTGCAGGTGATGGATCAATCAGGGGGCTCCACAATCGCCCCAAAGAGGGAGGCCTAGGCTACCCCGAGGTGGCAGCACTGTGGTGGGTGGGCGGGGCCTCCCTCTATGGGGTGATCAATAGCGACAAATAGTGGCTCCCAGGCTGAGAGAGGGCACAGGCCAGGCTGAGGGACTCCCCACTCTCTCTAGTGCATGAATTTTGTGCACCGGGCCTCTAGTCTATAAAAAAAGATTTTCCTGTGATCAGAGAAAAGAGCCTGTGAACTTTCTAGAGAGAATAAACTCAATGAGGACATGCAGGGCTGAGAGAGGGGACCCGGAAGAAGTCCTGCAGGCAGATGTCGTAAAAGGTATGAAACAGTTATGAGCTTGGCAAGCGTGTGCATGGAACTGCACACAGAAGCAGCGCTTATCTGGGGAAGAGCAGCAGGTTTGAGGACTAGCTTTGTGTCAATTTGTTTGTAGAATGAAGGCAGCAAACCAGCTCAGGCACGCATGAACAGACTGCTGAGCTTGCAGTGACCTCGGCCATCTCAATTGCTAATGTTGCTCCAACTTGCTTATATTCTCAGGAGAGGCCTGGTACACAAAATTTGTGCACTCGTGGGGGGTCCCTCGGCCAACCCATGCCCTCTCACAGTCTGGGAGCCCTTGGAGGATGTCCAGCTGACGGGCATCCTTAGCACTGCCCTGAGGCAGGAGACTCCCACCACTCACATTGCACTCAGCAGCCGTGAGCTGGGCTTCTGGCTGAGTGGCGCTCCCCTGTGGGAGTGCACTGACCACCGGGGGGCAGCTCCTGTGTTGAGTGTCTGCCCTCTGGTGGTCAGTGTGCAGCATAGTGACCAGTCGTTCTGCTGTTTGGTCAATTTGCTATTAGCCTTTTATTAGATAGGATAATTTCTTCCATCTGTTCCTTTTTTTTAATATATATTTAAATATATTTTATTGATTTTTTTTACAGAGAGGAAGGGAGAGAGATAGAGAGCTAGAAATGTCGATGAGAGAGAAACATCGACCAGCTGCCTCTTGCACACCCCCTACCGGGGATGTGCCCGCAACCAATGTACATGCCCTTGACCAGAATCGAACCCGGGACCTTTCAGTCCGCAGACCAATGCTCTACCGCTGAGACAAACCGGTTTCGGCCATCTGTTCCTCTTAAACATACTGTTTTTCTCTCTTTTCACCTACTCTATTTTGCCTACTTTTCTGAGCTCTTAAAATATTTAAATAGGCTACCCAGTGGTGGGTAGCCTATTTTTGTCTTCCTCTTTTGTGTTTATGATAGTGATAATTTTCGTTTTTTTAATATTTTTTATTAATTTCAGAGAGAAAGGGAGAGGGATAGAGAAATAGAAACATCAGTGATGAGAATCGTGGATCAGCTGCCTCCTGCACACCCTACACAAGGATGCAGACTGCAACCCAGGCCTGTGCCCTGACCGGGAATTGAACCTTGACCTCCTGGTTTACAGGTCATTGCTCAACCACTGAGCCACACGTGTCGGATGACAATTTTAAGTTATGTATCAGTGCCTAGTAAAAACCCATTTGTAGTAGAAATGTGGCAACTGTTGCTAATGATACCTTGAAATGACTTCAGACTCACATGATCTTTTCTCTTCTTTCAGGTAAGTGACTGAATGGGGATATGAAGAGCTGACAATTCAGATGACAGCCATGTTGCAAAAGGTACTGCGCGTTTCATATGGCATCACGGGGGTCTGATGAGAGGACACAGAGGCTGGGATGTAGCACTATTTTGGTAAAAGCAGGGGTGGTGTGTGTATGTGTGTGTGTGTGTGTGAACAGGTTTAAAGGTGTTATAGCTTTAAGATTAATTAGGAGAAATGTAATGAATGATGGAACTTTCTGTGGTGTAGGAAGAGAAGTTGAGCACCTTGTCGGGGGCTGAGGGGGGGGAGGAGTTGGGGAGCAGACAGACTGGATGCCGTGGTGGTTGGGTTTAGGGGTTCGTTTTCTCTGAAGGACTTGTGGTTTGTTTTCTGCGACCAAAACTCACCTCAGAGTTGCTCATAACCTGATTCCTGCAAGCGTGTCCCTGGATGATCCTATAGATCATGTTCGTGTGGAGAAGCCCCTATTCTGTTTGTATAGAGTGTCCCCAAAATGTGTACCCACTTCGGATGATTATAAAGTCGCTGCTTATTAACATACTATGGTTCATTTTCAAAATGTAAAGGAACCTGCAGAATGAATGTTGTTGTTTTTTAATGCCTGTTTCCAACCCGATGACCATGCTGGCCCAGGCGCTGCTGACAACGGGAAGCAGCAGAATCGCAAACACCAACACTCATTTCGGCTGGTGTCTGGCGCCCTCAGCCGTCCCCTGCTGCCGGTTCTGTGCCATGAGCACGCCTAGTGGGTACACCTTCTCCGTTCAGAGCTGTCTGGCTGGAGGACAGGGTCCGGGGAGGCGCCAACTGTGGGGTGGGGCTCCGTGCTCGGAGACGCCCGCACAGGCCCACTCGCAGGGAGGGAGGGGAGGAAATGCTCGCCCCCCAGGAAGAGGAGGACGTTAGGACCTGGGCTTCAGCCCAGTCTGACGTTAAAGCTGTACCTCTTGCCTAGAGGGCCTTTCCTAGAAGAACCTTCAGTTCCTGTGGAAACCGGTGTGCCCGGCGGCAGGAACAGCTGTGCCGTGACCCGTTCGATGAGCTCTGGCACCCTGACCTCGGGGTTAGCATGGGGGGGCTGGCCTCGGGGTTGGCATGGGGGGGGCTGGCTTCGGGGTTGGCCTCGGGTTGGCATGGGGGGCTGGCCTCGGGGTTGGCATGGGGGGGGCTGGCTTCGGGGTTGGCCTCGGGTTGGCATGGGGGGCTGGCCTCGGGGTTGGCCTCGGGGTTTGACCTCCGGGGTTGGCCTCGGGGGCTGGCCTCAGGGGCTGGCCTCGGGGTTGGCATGGGGGGCTGGCCTCAGGGGCTGG